GTTACAGCCCTGGATTTCCTGAAACTTACTCTGTAGACCAGGCTAACCTCAAGCTCGGAGGCCTGATCTGCCTGCTTCTGCCTCCAAAGTGACGGGATTAAAGGTGTGTGCCACCAAACTCAGCTCATTTCTTCTTAGAAGCACTGCGATCATTGGATTTGGAGACCACCATAAATCAAGGGTGGTTTCATATTGAGATACTTCAGTTTCACACACAGGCCCTATTATGAAAGCCTACTTCACAGGTTGTAAGTAGATATGTAATTTGGGAGCAGACTTTGCTGACTTGACAGTGACCTTGTCTTCAGATATTACGGTATTGCTCACTCTATTGTTGCCAAAATAATGGCTTTTTCATGGGTTTCCTTCAGGTGACAGAGTCAACCACGTAGGCTTTGAGTATTCTAGTTTTTGTCTGGCTTCAGGAAAGATTTTCCTTTAGGTTGAATGTTTTAATCACAGGTTAGGACTGGAGTGGTGATAAATTGGAGGGAGTAGATATGCACAGTTGGTTTTCTTGAATTTTCAGAATATGTCATGTGACCAAGTGAGAGAGAGGAGAGGCGCCTCTGGTCTTTCAGCCTGGTCTGCTGGTAGGGTATTTGGGACTCCCACATGGGAGCTGTCATACCTGTGCCAATTGCTCAAGTCGGGATCTAGGTTCACAAGGTTAGGAAAGATTCTTTAAGTATTTTTAAACTATTAAATTAAATTAAATATGCAATGGACATAGTATAAATCAATAAGCAATGTGGGTGATAGAACCATCCACAATATTAAGCCAAATAGGAAATGTACATCTGTCTCAGACTAGGTTTTATGAATCTGCCATTTTATTAGAGGAACTGGGCTATGCTGGTATAAAGAGGGGCCATAATTCTCCAAAATTCTTCTTTGTGACTTGCTAGACATAAAGTCGTGATGGCAGATGGTTCCCTGGTCAGTGTTTTGAGTCAATTTCTTACATACCATTGTCAAAGGATTTCATGGAATATTCATGTTATTCTGATGGTCCCACGTTTACCTTTCTGAAGAAGAATGTTGAATTGATCACTCATCATAAATGATCCTATTTTCTGTGCTACATGGAATAATTTACCTAACCCTATAGTCCTTAGGATGGAGGAAAGGGAGTCAGTGTTGTAACATGCAGTCAGTTTATGTCAGGCCAATGGCAAACCACCCGCTTGCATAGGTTCAACTGAGCCTCACAGCGAATCTGCACACTGAATGGTGTCATTCCACAGTTTCCTCTATAGGCGACAAACAGATTCCTTCAAAGGTTTGCAGTATTGTTCAAGGTCAACTAAGAGTTGACAGAAGCAGAATTTGGAGGCAGCCGTATCTGAGGCTGAGACTTGGTCTCCATGGTCTCTTTTATTCCTTCATAAACTCAAAGGAATGGGTTTCTTGCCTTGCTTCTATGAATCAGCTCCCCACGATGAAAATATCTAAGATGCCAGGTCTATGTGCAGTCTGGTTCTGTTCAAGTTTAATCTGCATCATCCATGAACGAGGTGACCTAGTGCCGAGAACATAAAATTAGCATATAGAACCAGAAGCCTAACATTCTTAGCATTTGAAGGCAAGGACATAAAAGCACCCCAAATTTCAAATCAATTGCCACGGAGCACAGAATGCAAGAGAAAGATAGCTGTTTTAAAACTCAGGGAATGAACCCATGCTCTTGGCATTCCACAGTAATTAAACTGGCCATGCAGCTTTCATGGACATATCTTTCATAAACAAGTTCACAAGACGTGGATTTGTAAGAGTCTCATGTGAGATAATGTCATTAAGAATCAAGGCATTCTGAGTGTTTAGTTGTGTGACAGAAACTGCAATTCTCTATGCTTAAATAGTGAATGTTTCAAGTAGAAGGGAAATTTTTTAATGCATATGATTAAGATTTGATATGAGGAAGTTCTTTACAATGGGTGTCTAGGAGTTGCGTGACAATTACTTTCCTATAATCATTTCAACACCAGAGTGTCTCCTCTAGATAGTAGCTAGTCTGCATGGTCTTTTTCAAAAAAAATATTTTTAAATGTGTATCTATTTTAATGCAGTGTTCTGCCTGCATTCCAGAAGAGGGCACCAGATCTTATTACAGATTGTTGTGAGCTACCATGTGGTTGTTGGGAATTGAACTCAGGTCCTTTGAAAGAACACACAGTGCTCTTAACCCCTGAGCCATCTCTCCAGACCATCTGTATGGTCTTAAAAGGAATGCAATTCAATAAGTAAATGACCTTTTAGGGTCCCTGGACTGTCATCTAAGAGAAGGGTTACATTGGAATCTGTGTGGTGGCCTCTTGTAGTAAGTTATAAATGAGGAGAATTCTGGTACATTGTCTTTAAAGTAATTGTATTTGTAGATTAAAGTATTCCATGTGTTTATAGGACTGAATTTTTGAGATGAATTAAGTTGTTCCAGGGTAGTTTTCCTACAGGATTCATTGATTTTCAAATGTAAAGGAAACCTTTCACAGATATCAGGGTCTCTGGGACTAATCTCTAAGGGGACTAGAAATCTGGAGCCTTGTGTTATTCTGTTCTGTTAGCTGTTGTGTTGATATTATAGTTTAAACATTTTAGACATTGCTCTTATGTTATTGGTTTTATGTTTGTGACCCAAGGGATAAAACTCTTACCCCAATAGGATGACATTGGGAGGCAGGGTCTTCAAGGTTAATTATATTTAGGTGATGTTTTGATTGATAGAACCCCATAATGAGATCATCACCTGTTATGGTCAGTCTTAACTGTCAGTTTGTTAAGAATGAGAATGACTTGGGAGATGAACCTCTGGGGGTATCTATGGATGATTGTCTTATTGATGGACCTCTGGGGTGCCTGTGGAGGATTATCTTGTCGAGGTTAATTGAGTTAGAAACACTTGTAAAATTCGACAATTTGGAATTCTGGTCTGTATGAAAGGATAAAGTGAGCTGGGACAACATCCATGGCTTTCTTCTTTCTGATTGAACACAATGTGACCAACTTCTTCATGCACCTTCTGTCCTTCCTTCCTTCTCTGCCCGGATGGAAAGTACCTTGACTTATGTGTTTCATTACACAATAGAAAAGCAGAATGTCCTTAGAAAAGAAAGACCAAAGCCCAGTTTCTTTGCCCTGTAAGGGTGTAATAAGAAAATAGCTAACTATAAACTTGTCAAGAAAGCACTTACCAGATTTGGGGTGGGATGGGGGGGAGGTCTATGTTGCCTTGATGGTTATCTTTCCAATCTCCAGATCTGTGAGAAGTAAATTTCTATTGTTCAGGCCTTCCAAGACATGTTATTTTTTGTTGTAGCAGCTCATACTGACTAATGCATCTTCTTATTTTTGTAACCTTTTGGATAGTCTCTGTTAAAGGAAGAAGTATTATTTTGTTCATGGTTTGAGACCACATCCGTCAGAGTGGGAAAGGAATGCAGCAGGATGCTCCGACTGTGGCAGTCGGCACTCAAGGCCGCTTGCTCATGTCTCCATGGCACTGATAGCAGAGATGGGTGGGAATGGAAAAGGGAGTAATAACCTTAAGGGCAGTTCTCCCCAGCTCCACTCTACCCAGTTAAGCTTCAATTCCCAAAGGTTCTGCAATCTTCCAAACAGTGTCAAACTAGAATAATGAAGCAACTTATATTCTCTTATTTTAAAAATTATCTGTGGAATGAGTTTTGAGGGGTTTGGGCAGTCTAGCAAATAGAGATGAAGATATTCTACACTTTGAACTGGTATAATTTTATGTCTCACTTATACCTCAATAAAATAGGAGGTAAAAGAAAATAGAGGTGTTGTATTATCACATTAACTTTCTGAGAGACTAAGGATCAGGGAATTAAAATTGTTGAAAAACTGGGCATTTGTTTATTTATTTATTCATTCATTTTGAGACAGTATTTCATGTGTCCCAGGCTGGTCTCTAGCTTTCTCTGTAGTTCTTCGAGTTTCTTTTCTGTGGCTGTGCTAAAATACCCTGACCAAAAGCACCACACTTAAGAGGGTTTATTTGGCCTACAGTTCGGGTTATATTGCACAGCTGGGGGCCCACTATTATGGGGAAGTCAGGGCAGGAACTTGAGATGGTTAGTCATATCACACCTCATAACAGATAGAGAATAAATGCATCTCAGCCAACTTTCTCATAAGCCTTACCGGGCCCCAAAACTTAGGAATGGTGCTGCCCATTTTCAGACTGATCTTTCCTGTATCTGTCAAGACACATCCACAGCTGAGCCCCATCTACTTAATCCCTCAGGGAGGCTCTGCTCCTTGGAGATCCGAGGTTGTGTAAACTTCACAAAACTAATCAATCGATCACAGTGGCCGAGAATGACTTTGAACTTCTTTTAGAATTCTGACACCCAGACAGGTTGTGGTCACCCAAGACGTGTTAGCTCCACATTAGAACACATGAGATGTTATTCCATCATCTGAAGTTGGTGATATCATAGTAAGACTAAAAAGGGGGCAGCATAAATTCTTCTGATGAGATGAGATGCCCCCCAAATGTCTAATGCTTAAACTCTAGAAAATGATTGCTTGGAAGAATTTGGACATCATTTTTACAAGCATGTTCAAGTTCCTTTGTTGTAAAATAGATGTTTCAATTGAAATTATCCAGGGAAACAGCCAATAGTATGTGAAAAGATTTATTACAAGAAATTGGCTCATGCAGTTCAGGGGGCTGGCAACTTCCACTGGAGGTGTGTTAGCTCTTATGCTCTGTTCAGGCCTTCACTAATTGAATAAGACCCTCTTATTTTCTAGAGAGAAAGATGTTGCGTTCTGCCTTTGGTTTTGAATGTTAATCTCACCTTAAAATGCTGTTTGACACATAGCCAGAATACTATATGATCAAATGGGAGAACCAAAGACCTGGTCAAGTGAACACATGAAATTAAACATGACACAGTCAACCTTATAGACCAGACACTTGCATTAGCAATCATTGCCTATCGCCCATTCACTGATGTTTTCATTCATCTACCCAGGTATTATCTACTTAGCATCAACTCTCAACCGTTTGGAAGCTACCACACTTTTTCTGATGGTCCGCGCTCGAGATGGTGGTGGACTCGCGGCTGCCACAAATGCTGACGTCACCATCCACATTCTGCAAACCACGCTGGCTCCTGCGGAGTTTGAAAGGCCTAAGTACACTTTCTCCGTTTATGAAGACGTGCCCGCGGACACTCTTGTTGGGACAGTGAAGGCAAGGGAGTCCTTGAGTAAGTGCGGAATTCTTAATGCTGCCCCCAAGTCCATTCCTGTAAAATTTCCTATTTTGTCGGGTCATGCAACCTCAAGTATTTCCTTCAATCTGTACAAAATGAACGGATGTGCAGCTCTCGGCCTGCTTATTGTACCATCATTGCTGCCGCCTAGCTCACAATTCCTGATAAAGAAAGAACAGGCGCCGGGCGATAGTGGTGCATGTCTTTAATTCTAGCATTTGGGAGGCAGAGGCAGACAGGTCTCTGTGAGTTCGAGGCCAGCCTGGTCTACAAGAGTTAGTTTCAGGACAGGCTCCAAAGCTACAGAGAAACCCTGTCTTGAAAAGCCTACTAAAAAAAATAGAAAAAGAAGAAGAAAGAAAGAAAAGGAAAAAAAGAAAGAACAGGAATTTTCAAAAGAATGCTTAATATAGTACAGAATAATTATGGTGTGCAAAGTGTATGTACTTGAATATTTTTTATAAATATTTATCTTGCTATATTTATTTCATAACTACAACCCACATACTTACTTTATATAGCTTTCAAGCTAAACTACCTATAACTCCCTTTTACTACATAGTAAGTTACACGGTGTTTTTGTGTAAATGTGTCTTATTTAAGCATTCCCTTTTTGCTCCCAGTTTGACTGATTTAAGATTTTGTGCTAATCCACATAGCAGTTGAGCAAATATTCATGCCTGGCTTTCTTGCTGTGTGTAGTGGCGCCTCCTCAGGACAAAGTCCGGAAAGAGACTCCCTCTCTGAGAGCTGGTCCTCCCTGTCCTTTCTCCTCTCTCTCTTTTCTCCTCTGTGGAGGATGTTTGCCATCCACAAGGTGGATATCATAGAAAAATACCAACATAAATTTAACTTGGCTTCTTGAAAAAGATGTTGATATTATTTTCTTAATGTGGTTCTCTTTTACCTAACACAAGAAAGGTAAAGACAGCAATGACTTGTTCATTGTCCACTGGCAGCTCTCTTCGATCCCAAAGAAAGCCTTAAGCCATGTGTCTCACCAGCCCTTGCGGATGGTAGAGGCTTCACCCCGTTCTTCTCCACGGTGGGCAACTGCTTCTTTACTTTTCTCTGTTTTCAGATTCCTCAGAACCAATCTCTTACCGAATTTCCTCTGGCGATCTGGATGGAACCTTCTCCATTCACAGGTGGCTGGGCAGCATCCGCACCCTGAAGCCTCTGGACCACGAAGCCCAGCCCATGGTTGTCCTCACTGTCCAGGCACAGCTCGGCAGCTCCCCAGCCTGCAGCAGCACAGAAGTGAACATAACTGTCATGGATGTCAACGACAACCGCCCCGAGTTTCCCACGGCCTCGGATGAGATTAGGATCCCCCAGACCACTCCACCTGGCACAGCCTTGTACCTTGCCCGCGCAGAGGACAGAGACAGCGGGCTGAACAGACTGGTCCGGTACAGCATTGCAAACCCTCAACCAAGCATGTTCAGCATGGACCGAGGTCGCGGGGTACTGTACCTCAGGGAGAGTCTGGAAGGCCACGGGGAGCTCAGGCTGACCCTGGTGGCTGAGGACCAAGGCACTCCTCCCCAGGCATCCCGGTTGGTGCTCACCGTAGTCATCGAACGCCAAGAACGAAGCCCAGCCGTGGCTTTTGAAAATTTGGTCTATCAGGTGGAAGTTAGCGAGTCTCTCCCGCTGACGACTCAAATCCTGCAGGTACAAGCCTACCCGCTGCAGCCACAGCACCCAGCCGCTAAGATGACATACTCCCTGGATGTCAACGTGGACTCTGCAGTGTTTGGAATCCACCCTCACACAGGGTGGATTTCCCTGCAGCGACAGCTAGACTATGAATCTACACAGACGCACAGGCTTAAAGTTTTGGCGGGGATCCCAGAGAACAGATCGCTGCGGAATGCGAGCACTTTGGTAATCGTTCATGTCTTGGATGAAAACGACCATTCCCCAGCCTTCCTGCAGGGCAAGGTGTTTTTGAAAGTTGAGGAGAGCCCTATCCCCCTAGGGGTAATAGGCAAAATGACAGCCATAGATGCTGACTCCGGGAAGAATGGGCAGCTGTCGTATTTCCTTTTGACAGATGGAAAATTCTTCAAGATGAATCCTAACACAGGTACCATTCACAGCCTTCATCCATATCTCTAAAAAAATCAGAATAAAAACCAAAAAAAAAAAACCATCTTAAATCTTCCGACATGGTTTCAGCACGAAGAAATTTTAAAATTGGGTTTTGGGAAACACAGTCTTTTAGTATAGTGCTGTGATTTTAAAATGAAGATAACATCGAGAAGAATCTCATCTCCCCCGATTCTGTCTTCTTTTATTTCCACATTACACACTGCCGGTGCCAGCCCAGGCTTAGACTGCTTCATTAAAGATGGGTTGCAGTTAAGACAGTGGTCCCACGAAATTACAATGGGGTTGAAAAACTCCCATGCACCCCTGCTCCTACTGTCTCTAGTTAGTTTAGAAACACGGCTACTGCCTCTCTGTTACAGCTGCCTTCAGTGTTCGGTCCAGTGACCACTGTTCACATTCACAGCCCAAGCGTGGCAGTGTGTGGCAGGGGTGTGTCATGAAGGCCTCACCAGCTAGGTCTGTGCTAGTATACTCCAGAATGTTTGCACGGTGATGAAGCTGGTTGCGGATATGTTCTCAGAATGCATCCTGACCACTAAGCAGTTTTTGATTGTTTGCAATTCTATACTACCCTAGAGACGTGGCCAGCACTGCCCTGCCCACGTCCTGTGTGAAGGTTTGTTTGGGGCGGCTCTCTCGGGAGACCTCACCCCTGTCTGGTGCATACTCTCCACAGTCTTTCCTGAAACCCACCTTTTCGTGGCTCCCTGTCTCCTGCAATACCAGTCACCTCAAGTATGGAGAACCCTGGTGTTCTCTGCTTCTGCAGAGGGGTAGATGGTTTGTTATCTCATTCTTTTTGAGGCATAGCAAAAAGGTCAAGATTTTTGTGTGTGTGTGAAAAATAAATGCCATCAAGGTCAATAGAGAGTAATTTTATTACGATTTCAAGATCACTAGAAGCAGTTATGACCCTGTGCTCATTTTGGTAAGGAACAAGAGAGAACGAGGATTAATCAAGTGTGATGCAGTTACTCTCTGACACCTTAAATTAAAAACTGAGTATAAGATGTGACTATATTTGGAAATTCATTCTTCAGTCCCCAGAACACAGTGTGTCTTAGTCACATACGGGAAACCAGGAAACACACTGGTAACTGAAGGGAGAGGTGGCCAGAGACGAGGGAAGCCACCTGTTTAAGCAATTTTCATGAAATAAAACTCCATTTGCTAATCCAGAGTTGGGGCTTTCAGAGTTACAGATCGGAAGTTTAAAAATTCTGTTGTGCGTATGATTTATGAAAAATCCCAGTTACAATAAACACTATTTAAATATGGTTGATGTAGAAAATGTGTCGGTAAACACTGTTTAAGCTCACTGATTAAGCAACTCACGCAGACATAGACTTTCTTCTTTATCTTAGTTTTTTTTATACAGTATCATTTCATCTGGATTAGGAGTGAAGAAAGCTAAGCAATAAGAATGTTTGGTGGGAGCTGTTTTGTGTTTGCTTTCTCACAGATAGATTTATTCACAATGGCAAGGAAGCCAGGGCTAGGCTGGACAGAAGGAAATCCAGCACATTCTCAAGAAGTGTGTGGCCTCTGTAGGCCTGTGGCAATGAGGACAGGCGCTTAGAAGCTTATACCGAGTCTTCAAGAATGAAACATGAGGGAATTTACTAAAGACAACACATTTCTAAATAAGAATTACAAAATAAGCTTTGAAGAGCATTGATAGTTACTTGGGTAATTTTCACTGTATTTTACTATACACACATTTTGTGAGTTAAAAAAATAACGTGATTTAATCTGCATGGGAAAAAGATAAGATCTCCTGAGTAAATGGGAGCTTAGGGGTCATGGGCAAGAATAGAATGGGAGGGGGAAGGAGGGGAGCAGAGAAAAATATATAGCTCAATAAAATCAATAAAAGCATGTAAGAAAAAATGGCGTGTATAAATGATAGGTGAGTGCCCAGGGAATATGTTTTTCAAGTTATTGCAAAGTCATGATAACAATGGCCAATGGCCTGCAGTTTGCAAAGCACTGTCAAACATTCAGTGGTGTTTGATTCGGAGAAGCAGCCCTGAGGGAATCAGCTGTGAGAACCAGGCAGGCGGGCATCCGGGAACCGAATCCAGAACCCTGGATGCATAGCCTACACGTTTTCCTTTTTCTCTGTAGCAGCATAAGGGCCAATAAACAGGCATTATAAATCTTCCAAATCATTTGTTTTTATGAATTTATGGGGCGGGGTTATAAATGATTCATGGTGGGTCATTTGCAATATGAAGAATGATAAAGAATTTTTCAAGTCGTATTTTCTGGCGATAGTTTTGATGGACAGTCTCTTTATTTAGATTGGCCTTGAACTCGTGACCCGCCTGCCTCGGTGCCTCTGACTGCTGAGATTATAGTTGCACACCTGCAGAGTTTTCAGCCACACTGAGCAGAATTACTTTGTATGGGAGTGATCTCGAGGGCCGAAGCTTTTAATTTAGTTTCTCTCTCAGTTGATTATTTTGGACGTGGTTTGTCACTGCCGTGCCAGTATTCCAGTGCACAATGCCTGTCTTGTTCTGCTGTGTTCCCAGGTGAGCTGATCAACTGGCTGGCATTGGATCGTGAGCACCGGGGGCATCATCACATGACCGTCCTAGTGACGGACCACGGCTCCCCACCGCGGAATGCTACCATGGTGGTCTATGTCACGATCACTGACATCAATGACAACAGGCCATTCTTCCCACAGTGTCTCCCTGGAAAGGAATTTCACATCAAGGTCTGTGAAGCCGCTTTGCAGTGGGCTTTTTTACAGTCATTTGTTTTGAGCGCCATCTTGTGGTCAAAGGTGGGAATTTGTCGTCAGTCGTGGTACAATGGCGTTGCATGTATTCTAACAACATAGACTCGTGTGTGTGTGTGTGTGTGTGTGTGTGTGTGTGTGTGTGTGTGTGTGTGTGTGTGTGTGTGCTAAGAGAATGGCTGGAAACATAAAGAAACTGGCTGTGTGCGCTCCAGAATTCCACCTCCATTTTGGTTAAAGGAAATATAGTTCTGTCCATTGCACGATACAATGCCACCCCAGTGTCTGTCACGCTCACTTGTGGGTGGGTTTCCTCTGCTTTGCTGTCATCTCTGGGCAGCTCCTTATGTGCAGCTGATGTGCCTACAATGATGTCACTGAGGATCAGTGATGTCATTAGGATCAATGTGTAGTTCCGACATGAGTGAGTATCCATTCAGAGACCAGAGAAGTTGGGTTTCGTACGCACACGCCAAACTTGTAATCATGTATACATAAAACCCATCTTTTCTTTTCCATGTTTTGTATATTTATTATTTCTGCAATACATCAGCACATTCTTTAACACTCTTCATAAGACAATAAATATATTTAATATGGATCACATGTATAAAAAACTTAGCAGCTACTGATCTCCAAACACTTGAATTGAGGTTTAAACCCTGATCAAGCATGTGTAGTGAACAACTCAAGAAGGTGTTGCGAAAGTTAGGAAATTTAAACTGATCTTCCAAAGCAAGAGGTGAGGAAAAAAATCTGTCAAAAGGAACATTATTGGAGCAATTTTTATTGTATCATAAAATACCTTGTGTTTCATTGGGGTAATCGGTACCCATGATCGGTACGCATTATCGCTCCAGGGCAATTCATACTCACCGTAAGATACACTTTCTGAAATAAAGGCAGATCTTTGTGCTAGGCTTATTTTGGATTGTAGCAAGCAGTCTGAACACTAACTCAAGAAACTGTTGAGAGAACACTAAATTCTTTCAAAAATAGAAGAATTTTACAACAGAAGAATTTCAAAAATAGAAAAATATTTAATTTTATGTCATCGTAATTAATTTATTTGCATTTTTCACTCAAATGTCCCAGATAACTTCTTCAAAATTGTAGCAGATAAGGTGGACTCTTTCCTTAGATTTCTATCCATGCACTTTCTGATGGTGGACATTTGAGTAGCTTGCAGATTTTAGAACTGTCAGTAGGTGCTTGATATATTTTTTTTAAAAAATACTGTCTCTTTCATTTAATGATCTACTATTGCACCCCTTAAGACTTCACTGACTCACCAGTAAGCTGTTTGTCTCCATGGCAGGCTTTGGAAGGTCAGCCAGTCAATACACTGGTTACCACTGTCTTTGCAAAGGACCTCGATGAAGGACTCAGTGCGGAACTTACATACTCCATCTCTCCAGGTAAAAGTCAATATCCATAAAACACGAGGGTTTTCAAAGCTCCCTCTGCCCCTCATCCCCTGTCTCACTCCTTTGGGGGTGCCACCTTGCTCACTCAGAACTCCCTAGAAAACTTACACTAGAAAACCAAATTGCAAACAAAATCCATTTGCTGCCTGTAATAATCACTCTATACTTAAGAACACAAAGAAAATATTGAAGTTGTGTGGAGGTTACTAGCTGCTTTCTATGTCCTAAATAGAAACCATCCATCTTAAATGCATGATTTGTTGAGAATCTAAAGTCCAAGTCAACTTTTATTGAAAGGAAAGAGGAAATGACTAGGTAAGAAGTGGCAATTAATGCCTGATGTGTTAGAGCACACATGGATATCTATGGAGACTATTCATCGGATGAGAATAAATTATATCTGTAGTGATATTTTATTTGTGTTTTAACAAATAAAGCTTGTCTGAAGATCAGAGTGCAGGGCTAAGTCACTAGAGGCCAGGAGTGATGGCTCACACCTTTAATCTCAAGACTCAGGAGACAGAGGTAGATGGATCTCTGCTAGTTCAAGGCCACCCTGGACTACACGAAATTGATCCAGTCTAAAGGAGAAAAGAGCTCACACAAAGGTGATCCCAGCACTTGGGATCCCACACCTTTAATCCCAGCACTAAGGAGGTGGAGACAGGAGTGATATGGCTGGGTGGAGTCAAGAATATAAGGCTGGAAGAGACAGGAGCTCATTGCAGTCTGAGGCAGAAGTCTGGAGATGCAGTCTGAACAGTCAGTCAGAGGATGCAGTCTGAGGACAGGATCGCCCTTTTGGTCTGCGGATTCGGTAGAGGCAAAAGGCTTCTCTAGTGGCTGACTGCTCTGCTTCTCGGATTTCTCGGCTTTCATCCCCTAATATCTGACTCTGGGTTTTTATTATTAATACCAAACAGAATTCATGCTACACATGTCTACTATATCATACCACAAATCATACCAAGCACTTGGAACACTCTACGGAGACTTTGTTGACATAGACTTACTTTCACGCTTTCTCTTAAAATACGCAGTCTTCCTGTTTCTTCCAGTAATTTGCTTTACTTGACATTGTGTTTGAGACCATTTCAAAAGGCATCTACCTTGTTTGACACCAACAAGGAAAACCCAGAGACAACCTTGTCCTTGTCTGAAGCAGATTAGGGTCTCTCCATAGAAAACACAAGAGATACAAGAGCAGATGCTGGCGTTAGTGTGCCTGCATCCTCTCAGGGAGCAGATGCTGGAGTTAACGTGCCTGCCTGCTCTCAGGGAGAAGCATCACTACATGGTGCGAGCATTTTAGAGACACTGCTCCAAGGGTCTCGTTCACTGTGCTGAAGCCGCAAAGCTGGCATGGGTACGGAGTGGCTTTGCTGCAAAGCTAATAAGTGTTCATTTCAACACACTTGCTCAGAAAACCAGACTTCTGAACAGCAGAGTATTTATACTGTTATCCTGTTTTTTTTTTTTCTGAAGGGGATTTCTTCAATTCCTTTTATTAAGATCTATGCTTGCTAAGGAATGTAAGGAAAATTATAGCAGAAGATGCTTTCAACCATTATGAAAAAATGTAAAGATTTAATAATAGGCATGAAAGGCAAATGAAATAAAAATCTATATCTGTACTGTTCGTATTAGGGGAGAGAAATGTTTGAATGTTTATTTATTGGTTTAGAATATTTTCAACTAAAATGTCAGCCAGTGTTTGGTGAAATATGTCATGTTCGTTCTAAAGTCATAATAGAAGAGCTAAAAAATATGAATGTCGAAAGGACAAATGGAAAATATGCGTCCATAGGACTTTCATTTATAAAGTTTTTAAAAGGAAGACACCATAGTACCGACACATTAACAACAGATCAGTGGATAAGTGTATGAAGATTTGATACACAATATATATTCAGCAGATGGCTCATCAATATCTGGTTCAGACCTCCTTTGTTACACAGGTGGTATTATATACCTACTTCTTACTCTTCAACATTTGTCATATTTAAATGTCAAAATCTGAATTATCACAGAAGAAAATGTAAGAGGTTGATGATTTGATGTTGAGGGCGAAAACGACTTTTAAACAAGAAAAATATGGACAGAAGTAGCTGGGTGAAATGACATTGAAATTCAGAACTTCATGAAATATGTCACTGGTTACCATGTTGTGAGTCTCAGCTCACAGATTGGAAGAAAGCAATTACAATCCCTGTAATGACACAGAATTGCATTCAGCTTTATTAAGAATCCTAAGAGATCAGAAAGAAAAGGACAAATGATTTGAAAGCCAAGCAAAGAATATTAACAAGCATTTTGCAATCAGAACTGCACAGCCAGTTTAAAACATGTCTCCTGAGTGGAACGACTTTGAAGCGTGGAGACACAGTTTGTGATAAACTTGCAGGGTGTTTGTGTTCGGCCCCAGAAACAGCGCCTACATTTGATGTCCTGGAGCAGCTCCCGTGCCCTGAATGAGAGGGGACAGAGTTTTTGTTGAAGCTTTGTTTCACACGTGCTCACACAATGGTATCATTCAGGGAGACACTACCGTGAAAATGGACCACCTACAGCTTCATCTAGGCAAATCTTGCAATGTATTTGACGGACGCAGCTCACAGAAGATAAAAGTTCTACCTTATTGTCCTTGAGCCCATCTCTGCTTCCACCAGGGACTGGGAAGTCCTCATCACAGGCTTTGTCAGGGAGCAAGTTCTCCTTCCATGCTCCGTGTTGCCCACCAGGGGGCGCTCTGATTTCTTTTCATGTAAATATTTCAGAGCTTGCTTAGTCTAGCACTGGGGCAGAATGTCTTCCCAGAGTCCTTAGGTTAGTGAGATCTGTGAGATCTTTGCATCAACTTCCTCTTTAGTTTTGAGAGTACTCAAAGAACACGAATAACTACAAAAATCAGTGAAGGTGGAGAAGCTCAAACTCACCCTCCACACAATTACACACACATATACATACTCAGTCACACTCACACATATACACACCCTCACAGTCACACAGATCATACATGCACACATACACATTCACACACATTCATTTACATACACATTGACACACAAACATATGCATGCATTCATATTCATATAAACAATCACACACTCACACTGAATATCACACACACGTGTGCACAGACTGAGCTTTGATCCTGGCATAGGGCCTTTACCTGAACGCGAGAAAAGCCATACTTCGCATGTCTATGGCCCATGGAGTAAAGGATAGAGAACCCACGTCAGTCAGGAAGGGGACTCTCGGAAGGACGAAAATGCAGTGGAGGATCTGGCAGCGTACGTGGACCGACTGGTTTTCTTCAGACCGCCATTGTTAAAACATCGAAAAACAATGGAAATCATCCAATCTAAAAGATTACGCGCTGATGTGCAGCCTACATTTCTCAGTGTCTGAGGTGTTATTGCTATGGGTGCAATTGATTCTCTGCGCCTTTACCTGGTTCCAGGACTGCAGCTCAGGTTGCTGAACCTGCACAGCAAGTGCCTGCCTTGATCTGCTGAGCTGACTCACTGGTCCCCTGAGATGCTATTTTTTTTAAATTAGCTTCCAAGGTGATATTTGAAGCATAGCAATATCAGCATACAATGATGTGTATTGTCTGGTTTGGCCTTAACTCATTACTAAATAGAGGCAGCTCTAATTATAATATGACAGTATACCAAGGTAAAAATACTATAATACCAACAGGATTTTTATCATTCATGAGAGTGTCTTCTGCAGGATACCTGTGGGACAGAAATGAGCCGATGAAAATAGGGATCACAACTAATAGTCTTTCATAGACACTGACTTTGTATTCTAAATCTTCAAAGGCAGGGGCTCTCTTCTGTTTATATCCCTTAAGCTGGCACAGAGTAACCGAACAAAACTGACTCAGAGCTGTGGAAACAGAGAGCGACTTTGCACGCTTGGCTTTGTATTCAGATTTGATTGAAAATTATAGTCTATGATTTAACTAAGCACGCTGTGGAATGGACATAAATTACTTGCATTCATACAAACTTCTGGTATATTTTGGTGTGTCCGTTTATCCACTCTCTGTCTACTGTAAAGGCCTAGAAATCACGAGTAACCCAGAAAAAGTGAGAACTCCACCCGTGCAGAATATGCTCCCGCATGACTGTTTACCACCAAAGGGAAGCAGAAGCACTAGAGGAAATGAGAGAGTTCAGATCTTAGACGGCAAGTCTATGAGAAAACCCTGCACCGTCCTGCACACAGCACAGGCAATTGCTGCAGTGTCCTGGGACTCTGTCCAGAAACCCAGGGACCAATTTTGAAGGGATCCTACTCGTCGGTGATGACCTAATTTCAGTAAATAAAATAGTGGTGAGATGCTGAAACTGTTCCCTACAATGAGCTTTATTTATTAAAATGGAAATGAAATGCCACTACATAGTGTTAGCAAATGAATCTCAAAGGCAAAATTTGCACTTGGGTGGCAGAAATCTGCAGATGGTCTCACCGTGTACCTCAGGATGGCCTGGCACGATCTTCCCACTAGATAATGGGCTAATGCACCGCCATGCCTAGTTCTCTACTTTTTTATTTTTATGTACTTACACTAAAAAATAATCTTTTCTATATTTTAGTGACATGTAAAAGTTGGATTCATATTAACTGTGCAGGGAAACGTGAAAGCTGGAGAGATCAGAGTAGTGTTGTGTGCTGCGTTTGATACATGTGTGCATCAGTGCTCTGGAAAACATTTGAACAGGGCAAGCAGCTCCTCAGACCCTCAAGGAATTAAAGCCAAATTAGCATTCTATAGCTCCTTAAACTCTCAAGAAATTTAAAGTAAATACATGTTCTGAAATACGAATAAATAAACTGAATTGATCCCATCTTCTGTTTTATGAATTAATCTAGTGTCTTCGTTTTTGCATATAGATTATCCTGCTCACTTTAAGATCGATGCCAACAATGGTGAAATAAGAACCACCACGATCCTTTCCCACGACTATAGACCTTCCTATAGGATGACAGTCATCGCCAGTGACCAGGGGGTGCCCCCACTTCAAGGACAGGCAGTTATTAATATTCAGGTAATGTTAGCAACATAAAATGTAGAAGAAGGTTCTGAGGCTTTCATTTGATTTTTTTAAACAAGTAGATAGTATGAAGACAGTCCAAGTGTGTGGATCGTATTTCAAGAGTATATTACACACAATGCTTGCCTTCTCGTTACTGTTTGGAAAAAAATTAAGTATAAATGACCCTTGTTCTGTGCAGTTCTTGACGAGCTATCCTTCACCCCATAGACATTTGTGTTGCTTTGGGTGTGATGTGCAAAGGTGACTTTCCTCTTACTTCTGATGGCAGTGAGTTGGTAAGTTTGCAGGAGGGAAGGGCCTTGTGTATAAACAAAAGGCCACAGGATAAATTGCATGGGTTTTTGAAAACTTTAAAGCTTGTAACAATTACTTGAGATCACATGTCAAAGCTTCGCATTAATCAAGTCACAACCACAGCAGCAACAGCAAAACCAAGTCATGGGACATCTTTGTAGCAGCAGACAATTACCTCCGGCCAGTCAAAAGGGGACTGTTGACAGCCGGACTCTCTGCTGATCACGTTATAATAAGTCACGCCAGCACAGTATAAATATAATATAGGCTTGTATGTATATAGTAACAAGGAGTTTATTTTCCCTGGAGCACTGCTTTCAAATTATGCCTTTCATAATTAAAGTGTGAATTAGGAGAAAAATTGATGTGGTCAAACCTTTAGTTTTTTGTTTCAACAAAGACACTTTGATATTTCACTGTCCAAAGGTGTCATTGTGTCTAGACTGATCTGTAGGATTTGGGGTCATTTTGAGAATTATTTGTCCAACATTCACATTGAAGAATTACCAAGTATGTTTTAGAAGAACCATGGCACAGCCTCACAAAGCACTCACTCATGTATTACAGCAAGGTAAAAGGTGAATTTTATTCTTTCCTGTATAGAGCAGATTTCAGTATTTTGATACAGTTGCATTCTGTTAAAAGGTATTTTCTCATCAATTAACACATACATAAAAAACACAAATAGAAATCAGCTTCCAATATAGTGTCATAATATATGTATAAACATATATATACATATGTACATAGATGTTTAGACTTACCTTTTAATAGTGATACGTGAAGCTAGTTTCAAAGAACTCTGTGTCAACAGATATTCATTTGTCCTTTCAGGTGGTACCACTTTCCAAAGGGGCAATTTTTATGTCTCAGAATATCAGACATTTAGTGATCCCAGAAAACACAAAGCCTGCGAAAATCATGAGCCTGATGCAGTCACCCGATCCCCTTCAGCAGCTCCCGAGCGGGAAGTTACACTTCAGTATCGCTGCAGAGGACAGAGATGGACACTTTGAAATCGACAGCTCCACGGGAGACTTGCTCCTCTCTAAGGAACTTGACTATGAAACGACATCTCATTATCTTCTCAGGGTGATTTCTAAAGACCCTAGCCAAAGCCCTCCGTGGAACAGCACAGTCTTCCTTAGCATTGATGTAGAAGACCAGAACGACCATTCCCCCTCCTTCCAGGATGAGTTCATTGTAATAAGCATAGAGGAGAATGTCCCTGTAGGGACACTGGTGTACATCTTCAATGCCAAAGATGGTGATGGCAGTTTTCTGAATAGCAGGATACAATACTTTGCAGAATCTAGCCCTGCTGGAATGAACCCGTTTCTCATGCACCCCTCCTCTGGCTCACTGGTCACCGTATCTCCCTTGGACAGAGAGAAGGTCCCAACTTTCCTCCTGACCATAACTGCATCTGATCAGGCTGTGAATGTGACAGACCGGCGATGGAGGTCACTGGTAGCTGAAGTCGTGGTTTTGGATGTGAATGACCACAGCCCCACCTTTGTGTCCCATCCCATGGCCTTCATCAGAGAGGATGCTGAAGTGGGCTCCTTGGTGCACCGTGTAAGTGCCCAGGACCCAGATGCAGAGATGAACGGGGAAGTCACATACAGCATCCTCTCAGGAAACGAGGACATGGTCTTCATGTTAGATGGGTCATCAGGTACAGTGCTCTGGATGCCACTTAAAAACTGTTTCATTTCACTAAATATTTTGTTACATTTTGTTTGAGACAAGTTCTCATATATACCAGGATGACTTCAAAGCCACTATGTAGCAGATGATGCTTTGAACCCCTGATCTGCCTGTCTCTGCTTCCCAAGTACTAAGTTTGCAGGTCTGCCTAACTTTGTAGAAGGAAAATTTATATGAGAATACATCATATTGGTTGTGGACCCGGTGCTGAACAGTTGGGCTCAAAGATCACCCTTTTCATTCATCTAAGCCAACTGTTCTCACTTCCTCTTTCATGCATCTCTGACAAGCACTCTTCTTGATAATTCTGTAAATCTGATTATTTTAAAAAGTGTAGATGAATAGAATCATGCAGTGTTTGTCTTAGTATGACTAGCCTATTTCAGTCAGCACCATGTTTCAAAGTCTAGACATACCATCCCATGTAAGAGAATCCCCTCATGAGTTTTAAGACCATCACACGCATGTATCATGTTTTCTGTCTCTATCCATCTGCTGGTAGACCTTTGAGTTATTTTTAACGTTGACTATTCTGAACAGTACAGAAGTGAACTTGGCGTTGTCACTACTCAGAGACCCTTACTGCAATGCTTTTGCATAAATATCCAGAAGTGGTGTCGCTGGGATGTGTCATACTTTAATTATAAACAATTTTAAAACTGCTATAGCTTCTTTGGAAGGATGGGGCTTTATGATCCTTTCGTCAATTAAACAAATTACTTTGGAGGAATGGCCATACCGTTTTCCACTTGAGACGTTTTGCTTTAAAAGCAATCGTGTGCAAGGGTTTTGATTTCTCTGCATTCCTGCCAACTCTTCTTATTTATTGCTCTATACGAGAACCATCGCTGTAGTTGTTATGTGACAGACTGTTCTTGGAGAGATGCAGCACACCCACACTCTCACCCGCGCTACACACCGCAGATATTTGGACAACTGTTGGTTGATATTAACTGTGCTTCGTAGTTGGCGGTATCTTGTGGGCTGAAGAGGCAATAGACACTGTCATGAGTCCTTAGGGTAGGAATCCAACTAAGTAAAGCAAGGTGGTTATACGGCAAATCAGCAACATTATGCAAAGACTTTGGTGTGGAAATTCGCTGTTCGTTCATGGAGGCCAGCACTGGTTAGTAACTGGAAATAACATTCAGGTTTTAATGGCTGAGTTCCTTGCTTGTTGTAGGTGTTGTTTTGCACATCGGTTGTAGCATTGTTTCTTAAGTCAACATTTACTCAATGCCTTTCCCTCTACACAGATGTCACTCCCTGTCATTTCAGCCATCTCGCTGTGGCCATGCTATCTGGTGACATTCAATATTTTTTTAAATGTGATGTGATCTTTTCTTTTTATGATTTTTTCAGTGTATTTTGGAATATTCAGATATTTCAGTATATTTTGGTATATTTCAGTATATTTTGGTATATATTTCAGTATAGTTTGGTATATTCAGACAGTATGAAGTACTATCTAATTGTCCATAAAATAGTGATTTCAACATGAACCTTAGGGAAAAAAAAATCTCAGATGTAAGCGATTTGGCCAGCTGTGAAGAACATTATTTGGAGTTGATGTGAATGTGAGGATTTGGAAGTTGTGAGCATCGCTGTTTCTATGCTGATGGGAAAATTTATCAGAACGCTTCTCAAACCCTGACATATGGTTCCCTTCTGAGGCTTGTCTGAACAGCACCGACATGCCCAGCTGACAGGAGATTGTCCAGATACAGGCTGACGAGTTCTGCAAGCGCTGGGGCTCTCCTCCAGCTGACTTAGTGGTACTTTAAATGCTTTTCAAGGCGCTCAAGGAAGGTCTGTTTCAGCCTGTTAAAGAGGAAGAATAAACATGAATTGTGTCTTAGTAATGCCGGCATCATGAATCTTTAGCTATTACAAGGGCTATTTCTTTTGAGGTAGTTTTCAAGGACATAAAATGATAATTGCAGAATGTATCCATATGAGATGGGAGGTTTTTTTGTTCTCTCACAAGGCTCGAGTGTCTAATATAAAAACAAACAAAAAATAAAACATAGTGGGGTTTCCTATAACCCCAATGTATAAAATGAGGAGTAATTATTGGAAAAACTATTTCAAAAATCTGATTCAATATTTAATTATTTGAGGAAAAACTTGGAGAGGCAGGCAGTCAGCCATCTTAGAAGAAATATGTGACTGTTATTATCCTATAATAGCTGTCTGTGTAGAACACCGTTCATACACGGGTGACGTGGCTCAGTGCAGTGGGGTAGAAGGCGGCAAATTTGTGAAATTCATTGCCTGAATTACAGCGTCTGTGTCTGTTATTGTTCATAAAGCCAATGACGGTCAACCAAGAGTAAGTCCAACAGAAGGCAGGCCTCTAACAAGAATCAAATGTCCTGAACAACAGAGTCATACGCACATTTTTATAACATGGCTACTTTCAACTGTGCCATGTGTCACAGAATGATAGTAGATTCTGTTATTATTCTGTCTATATGTTAGTAGCATCATAGATACTTTTAAAAGTGAGGGAAATGTTGGGTGGACTGAGCACTTTGGTGCAGGCCTCTCCATAGATAATCGTATGGGATAGACTTCTAAACTTTTTGTTTGTCTTTATACCTTAAATTGATTTCTCTGACTAAGAATGTTAGTGGATAAAATAAGAACTTAAAGTTGGTTCAATAAATTTCACTCTTTGTTATGATTCATTCTTTAGCAATGGAAGTTTTTTAATTGTGTATTGTAACACACACTGAGGTAGAGTGAGTGGTTCTGAGTCAAGCCACATCCTTAATCCACCATGTCTTCTTTTCCAAAGCAGGCTTGCTGAGGACAGCTTGTCCCTTGGACTATGAAGTGAAGACTCAGCACGTGCTGACCCTCGTGGCTCAGGATGGTGGCACGCCAGCACTTTCTGCTTCCCAGACTCTGACCATCACTGTCCTGGATGTGAATGATGAGATACCAGTATTTACAAAACTTCTGTATGAAGCTTCCGTTAAAGAAAACCAAAGTCCCGGTGTGTTCGTTACAAGGGTTGAAGCTGAGGACACAGATTCAGGTAATTGGAAAACTATAGACTCCAGATAACAGGCGCCATAAAAGCACAGTGGTTCCCGTTGGCATAAAATCGTAGTTATGGAAAAATGAAGCCTACGAGCTGACACAGCGGGAAAGAGCTTACTGACCTGGAACCCGTGATGGAAGGAGATAAATAACTCTTGGACGTTCTCTTATGATCTCCGCATGTGTGGAAATAATAATAGTAAATAAATTAAGAAAAACAAAGGTTACGGGGAAATGAAGTCACTACTTAATCTCAAACTTCAAGTATTCTCACCAACACACCTGGAACAAATAACTGTAGGTGATATCTGTTTCTATCTGGCGTCTGTTTGTGTTCATCTTTATTAGCATTGAGAGTGGTCCGTCCCTCATGAACATGTAATTTATGGATTTCGCTGAGGTAGCAAGCAGAGGGATACACATCACTTCACGTTTACCTCCAAGTGCGCTAGATGGGTGGAGCGTGAGGAGTCTGGCGGCTCCCTGTCTCCTCGGTGTGAGACAGGTTTGCTCCCAGAGTGATGGAGCCGATATCAGCCTGCCTCAAATCCTAGAATTATCTCTTACCTAAGCTGTGTAACCCTGAATAAGTTACTAATCCTCTTTGTTCATCTTGTCTTCAAAATGGGAACAATTCTAGTGCCTCCATACACAATTCCATTATACATATGAGACATTACTAAGTGGGAAGAGAGTTTATGCTACTATCTGCCACAGTGAGTGGCCATTTTAACTCCTGTTTCTACTGTTATAATTAACATAAAACACAGACACACAACTCTGGAGTCAACAGCTACTGTGACTGGGAATTCATGAGTGTCTCCAACTTGCTTTTGAATGTCACTGGCTCTCTTAGGGTGTTTAAGGCACAGTATATTTAATGATATTCTGTCTTAACTCAAAACTAAATAATGATAAAAATCAATACCTCAGTGTTTGCTATTAACTACATTCTGAGTTTTCCATCAGAATACTGAGTTTTCCCATACAGAGCATTTAATTAGGCAGGCCTTAAAACTTGCATTTGTAAGATTTACGTTTACAAACATGGTAATGATGTTTTCATAAAGCCGATAGCGTAGCAGTGCCCTTTGTTTCCTAAATGTGAATTTGTCCGAAATGCTAGGGACACTCTTCAAGGGCTCTCATAATTTTCCCACTTTGACCACAGGAGGGCAGTGTGAGAAAAGGCTTTCCTCACTGTGCTCAGAAAGGCGCATGCTCAGTCCGGCTTAGACGTTAGCACTTTCCCAGCACTGTTTGCTGGAGGGCAGCGAACCTGTGAGTCGCCATCGGAAAGCACAGATATTTATATTACGGTTCATAAGAATTGCAAAATTACAGTTATGAAGCATCAATGAAAATAATCGCATGGTTGGGGTCAGCACAGCGGAAGGTTCTGTATTAAAGATTCGCAGCATTAGAAAGGCTGAGAACTGCTCCTTTAGGGTGACGGGAACAATGGGGAATACAAGCTGTGCTTCTCACAGTGATCCAGGGGAACATACAGAAGCGGTACATCTCCTTGGCCCTGGTTCGGAACACTTCCTTCCAAGGTTGCGGGCTGTCAATCCAGCAGGAGCCTGGGCTGGGCACGGAACCACTTCCCAAAAGTGGACAGCATAGGTTGAGCCGTCTGCAGAATTTCTGCTTAGCCACACGCAATCTGTTCCCCCCCGGACCTTACTTTGTTCATTTTATTTTCTGTACGGGGTTCTGTTGAAAAGGGAAAGAGGAATTTCTCTCAATTTTTGCATTTAATAATAAGACGTGGCTGCCATAAGCAAATGCTATCTCTTTGTTGTGGGGTTGCCTAGTGTGCATGCTACTCCTATCGATTATATTTGAGCTGAAACCTTATCATTACAGGGTTCACACTTACAACTACAAATTTAGATAGTTATTATTTTTGTGATTTTACATTAATGGAGGTTTGAAATATAACTTAACACCATCCCAAATCTCCTCTAGTCTCATATGTCTTGAGATAGTTTGAGTTACTGGAAGTCTTCACTTAAAAAAATTATTTAAATTTTTATTTTTTGTGTGTGAATTTCTTGCTATGTTTTCAGTCGAGCCTGATCTGTTAAGCTGGTGCTTATGTAAGTACATGTGACTCTGTGTGTGTGTGTGTGTGTGTGTGTGTGTGTGTGTGTGTCTGTGGTGTTTGAATAAATTTCCTCTCCATCTTTTTTTTTCTTTTTTTTGCACTGAGTGAATTCAAACAATGAAACAGGATTATGCATGAGAATTAAATGACGTACTCAAGATTTTAACATAACTGGCATCGGGCTGGAATTTATGAATGGTTTACTTTATAGTACGTATAAAAAAAGTACTATAGTGTTACTTAATACCAGGAACTGAGCATATGTGTTCTGGCATGCCAGAATGCAGATTTTTGAAATGTAAGCACGCAGTGCTGTTTGGCATTCTAAGTCCGAAGGGATTTGAATGTTTATGTTGTATGACTCACTCCAAATCTAGCAGGACTTTCTTCTTGTATTAAAGAAAAAAAAAAAGCAACTACCAGATTTTTACTGGGGTATTAAAATTTTCCCAGCACTTGGTACCTCAACAAGAGCTCCATTGTTAGTGTGCAAAGACAACCGTGGCTGCCCCTGGCACCTCGCACGGTAGATGACTTTGGGGTGATGACTCTTGCTCAGTATGGTGAGATGTCTACTTTAACATGGTCAGGAAGATGGGGTTTGTTTTATTCCATGCAAATGTCCTTTCTTCGCAGTATCATTTTGAATAGACTACATCTGGTTTCCCGACAGGACTTGCTCTATGTATGATTGACAGCTGTACTCTTCAAAACTCCAAAAACTTTTGGAGTCAGGGAAAAGCATAATATTTCACTGACTCTAATTCTGACACTACTGTTCATGTAACGCCAGATATGTAAAATGTGGGAGAAAAGATGTTTTAGAGTAAAGGAAGAAGGTAAATAAAGGCACCTTACCGCTCAGCCTTTGGAGTGTTACCGGTGTTATCCTTAGAAGGGTCATTATGCACATCTTCCAGTAGAACACTTATTTGTGCTCCTTAAAACAAAGGACAAAGATGCTAAAACATCACTGTTTTAATCATCTGGGCATGGAACTAGGGCTTTGCACATGTTAGGCTTCATATCCCATCCCTAGAAGCCAAAATATCTGAACATATGACATTTTGTAATAATTGCTTTCAGTTGCAGAAAATCTTGCTGGCTATTAAGTTTTTAATGTCAAATTCTTGATCATAGTATCTCTCCTGCCAGCAAGTATAATGTCATTTTTTTTTCTTAAGATGTATTTCCTCTGGCCGTCTAATGACATAAAACCTGTCAGTTGCTCACCTGAACTCTGTTGTGGTTGCTCATCAGCCTGATTTCTGGATCTTTTCCTACAGCATTCGCTGGTTCTAGCGTCAGCCCAGCCCAGAGGTGCATTAAGAGAGCTATAGGATCAAGGAACCACCCAGTCTTTCTTGTTCTCTTCCCGAGTCTAGAGACTTTTGTTCTTACCACATCCTAATAGAGGGATTTAGATGGGATTTAGGCCATCGAGAAGGTAAAATCTTAAATTTCTCAGTGTAAGGCCATTGCTTGAGGAGTCACGGTGACATGCTAATGGCTTGGGCTAACTGCTGCCGCTGATCGATCACTGTTCTGTTGGTGTCTGGTTGACTCCCACTGTGTATAGTCTCTCTATAGATTCCAGCTATAAATGCATTTATGGAAAGGGGGAAATTAGTTAGGACCAATCATGATCTCACTCACTCAGAAGACAATCTTTGTTAAATTTTGCACTAAACTCTATTTTTTTTTGTATTTGTTGATTGTCTCCTATCTACACTGTAAATTCCTGGATTCAGTGTATTTTACTTTCTTTTAGTCTCAATTCTAGGGTAGTAAGAGATATGATGTAGGCATTCAATCAGTACTTTTGACTTCATGATTTGAGAAACCAAATCCTACAAGTCATAAATGGTGTTGGGTTACCTTTAATCTTTGAAATATATTTATTACTTACTTTTCATTGCTGCCAAACAAGCAGCGAAGCCTATCCTCTTTTGGATTTAGAAATATCTGAAGGTGTGAGCATTGTGTCATTATTGAAGACATGAAAGACGGTCTTCCTGATTAGAACATACTATTCCACATTATCCCTGTCAGTAAGTATTCACAATCTTTAAGATATAGGTCTTTCTCATGCACTTAGAATTGGCTTTATATATATTCCCCAGGTTTATGCCAATTTGAGTAATTATCTGTCTACAACTTAGACAGGCTTGTACTTTGCTGCCTGTTACACTGCAGACTCTGGTTATGGCTTTTACTGGCCCTTTACATCCCCTTGTCTCTGTTGTGTATCTGCCACCCAGTGTCAGTTTGGTCTCCAAGAAGATTAATCTCAGGGCTCTCATAGCAGATTTGTGATCGTCTATGAATTAGGCTGCAAGTGTAAAACTTTCAACTTGCAATTTGCTTTCTGTAAATTACGACGACATTTGGTTTTCTAACCAGTCTGAGTCTTTCAAGGATCACGTCACCATTGTCTGACTCTGGTGGTCGGCTATTTGTGCTATCACAACAATGAGGGTTGACTGGCATTCTCACTCCTTTGACAAGACTCTCAGCACTCCAGTCAAAGACAAAGGGTTCAAACTCCCTGATATGCAAGAGCTTCTCCTTGTGACAAGTGTTCTTGCCAGTCATGGTCAGCCAAGAATATTAGACGCTGTAATGCTGTTGCTGCTGAGTAAGCAAAGCAGTACTGTGAAGGTGGGAGACGAGTCTGGAAGCACCTGCCCTTTAAAGACAAAAGGAAAGGTTTAGGGCTCAAAGGACGAGCTGAAAGAGGAGGGACCCTGCAATATCTGGATCACAGAGCGTTAAAGGACAGAACAGCACTGACGATACAGGGTGCTATTATGAAGAAGAAAATTCAATTTTGTCCCCCTTTAAAAGTATTTACTTATTTATTTATGGTTTGTGTTTTGATTATTTTGCCTGCATGTATGTACATGCATAATGTGTTCCAATGTCCAAGAAGGCCAGAAGAGGGCTCTCTGGAACTGAAAGTACAGCGAGTTGTGAGTGACCACGTGGATTCTGGGAACGGAACCCAGGTCTTCTGAAAAAATAACAAGAACAGAAGAGGGCAGTTGTCTCAAACTCTAGTGTCTCATAGGCATGGAAGCATAGATTTAGATCTGAGACACAGTAGTGTAAGCACTGCCTTAAATAAAAATAAAGGAAGAACAAACAGGAAGCGGCAATTATAGAGGCTGCAAGCAAAATGGAGCTTAGTATGTTCAGGGAGCGGATGGAAAGTAAAGACAGCAGAAATACAGCAAGGGTGTGAGCTGCCAGAAGTGTCAGAGGAATAAGCAGGGTCCGCATCACGGGAGACTTTGTAGATGCTGGTGAAATGTGGGAGTCTTATTTTGAGTGCATCCACTCTTTCTTCCTTTATGCTGATCAACTCTTGTTTGTTTTCATGGCCCCACAGAGCATCTCTGGTTAGTCAGTCATGCTGTATCATGTAGATTGTGCTTGCACGCTTACTTGACTGTACTGAGTGCTGTACGCTAAGTCTTGTGAGAAGAAAGGCTTCACGGTCTTCCTAGCACCACGTTTCTGTCACCTTCCTGTTACCTTAGACGGTTCCTTGCTTACTGAATGAGAGAGTGAACACATTACCTTTAATTCATCGATCTACATTCCCTGAACTCTACCCCTTCACTCTTTATAACTCTTGGGTTTAATTGTCTATACCACAAGAAAAGAGCTCTGGAGATCTGGAGACCAAGATAGTTGTCTTAGCAATATCTTTCCAAGTCTAGCATTCAGTAAATGTGCATGGATAATTGAGCATAGGAGCGGAGAAATGAGAGGAGAGAGAGGGGAAGGAAGGGAGGGAGGGAGGGAGGGAGGGAGGGAGGGAGTAAGGGAGGGAGGGAGGGAGGGAGTAAAGAAGGGAGGGAGGGAGGGAGGGAAGGAGTAAAGAAGGGAGGGAGGGAGGGAGGGAGGGAGTGAGGGAGGGAGGGAGGGAGGGAGGGAAGGGAAGGAGGGAGGAAAAAGTTAAGTAACCAAACAAATAATTAGAGTTCATTGTGAATACATGGTGTTATCTGGAGTCATTGAGTAGGAAACAAGTGGATGAATCTGTACCCAGCTCAACCTCTGTGGCCAGAATAATCCCTTTTCATCCCACTCTGGAAATGAGGAGCAAAATATGGTATAGAGAAATAATGAAGGATTGTATCTCAATTACAGCATGTCTTCCTAGTATGTGCGAGGCCCTGAATTCCAAATCTAGCAGTAAAACAAACAAACAACTGGATAAATAGATCAATAAATAAACAAAAATGTAAAGTAAAGAAAAAGAGAGCACAGATATTTTCTTTTTCTACTCCTCTTTCCATGCTTTTTCTCGTCTTTTGTTCCTTTCTGTCTTTTTGGACATCAGTCAGCAACTGATAATACCATGGGGGTGCTAAAATAGGTAAGAACTGAAGATAGCCACTAGATTTTATGATCAGAAAAATCATTGCTCGTAATGGAAAGAATAGTTAGGGGTGACAGTGGGTTGAAGTTTGCTCCAGACAATGGACAACATTCTTAAATGACATTGTGGAAATACTGAGAAGGGCTTCATTCTTACAGTTTCAGAGAGTAGGAAAGACTAGAGACTTAGGAAAAGTCCAAGTCTGAGCAGTTGAAGGATTTCTTCTACCATTAAGGTGGGCAGATAGAAGCAGGGTGAACATCTATTCAGATGATTAAGGGAATTCTTTCTCAACATTTCCTTTCTTTCTGAGAAACACAGAGGAGCTTGTGGGAGCGAGCCAGGATGTATTTGGTGGGAAACTCTACGAACAAGCTGTGACTGTGGACAGTCACAAATGATGCTGATGTCTGAGTGACCCTCGCCTGTGCTGTTAGGACCTTCTCTCGGTTTCAGTGCTTGTTGGATAACTGAGGAGAGCAGAAACATGACTGGACTGAGCATGGGCTGTCACGCTGCTGGGGATATTCAACCCAAAGTCAAAAGACATGGGGAAGACGCAAGTTTGATGGAGTAAACTCAGGCTGGGCTGCGGAGGGAAAGAAAGTCATTGGGAGGGGTGCTTTCCTGAGCCATGAGGAAGAATTCACGGGGCTGCAGGCATTGAGGTCTAATATTAGCTAGTGTCTTGTACACACAGTAGCAACTGGTCACATATCCGTCCTTCCTTAGATGTGTGTAAATATCTGTAGACCCAGGCATCCAACTTGCTTAGTAAGGTAATGGGATTAGACGAAGACATCTCTATTTCTCTTGTTTTCTTATTCTCTTGTTTGCTCTGGACAATTACAAGGGTGTGAGGAGGAATAAGCAAGAAAATCCTTACAGCCGCAAAAATGGGAGGAATTATTTTCACAACGCATAACAATGTGGTATGGCTTGCCTCGCTCCAGATAGGAGAGTAACTGCTAGGTTAAACACAAACCAAAGCAAGACTAACCACACCAGCAACCTTGTGGGCCTGCTCCTCAGGCTGAGAATAAACAGAGTCCTACCGCCGAGCACAGTCTTTTTAAACAGAGGATAATCTACAGGAATTGTCCTCTACCCCACAAATTCACAATTATGTTATTAAGTCACAATCAGGGGTGTTAGGAGGAGTAATTAGAACTATGTTGTAGAGTTGCTCACTCCTAAGAGAAACTTTATGGGAAGGAAAAAATCCGAAGCATTCACTGTGGGTAAGTCTCATAAGGCTTTTGTAAACCAAGCATTTCTGCTCACAGGGTCGTCACTCCAGGAGAGCAGAGAGAGGTATGGTCTTCTACTTTAATCTGAAGACTTTTTAATAATCTTGTCTTTCTCATCTACAGCCTGATAAATGCACACAAAAAGGGTCACATTTCCCAAGGAAAGAATTTCTAAACTTTGCTTTATTTTTTTATTCCTTAAGGAGTCAATGCCAAGCTTCAGTTTCAAATCATACCAGGGCCTGCCTTTGGGTTGTTTGAGATCAACCCTGACACAGGAGAGGTGGTAACAACGGTCACCTTTGACCGAGAAGCTCAAGGGATCTTCACACTTCGAGGTAAGGGACCTGCTTCCAACCATGCTATCTCAAAGGATGCAGAAGGATTGTCAGTGGGACTTAGCATCTCTTTAATTTTTTTCTATTTATTTGAAAATGTACATGTATGAGTGTGTGCCTCCTGTCTGTATGAGTACCATGAGCATGTGACACTCATGAAGGCCTGAAAAAGCTTTCTAATCCTCTTGAATTGCTACAGGTGAGCTTCTTAACTGGGCTCTGGGATCAACTCTGGGCTTTTGGAAGAATATTAGTTTCTCTTAAGTGCTGAGCCATTTCTCTAGCCTGAAATTTAAGATTGCCATAAGATACCCTTAAATAAATATTATTGGCCCAGGGCCACCCAGGTAGTTCAGTCTCATGCTGTGTCACAAGAACCGTGTTTCTTAGGTATTAACAGCCACAACCCTTCCTTCTTTGTGTTCAACGTCAGTACTTGTGCAAGACAGTGGCGTCCCTCCCTTGTCCAGCACGGCAACCATCATCTGCACCGTTGAAGATGAAAATGACCATGCCCCAGAGCTTGCTGTCCTCAGCCATGACATTGAAGTTCTGGAAAACCAAGATCCAGGGGTCGTCTACACTGTGCTGGCTTTCGATACGGATGCTGGTGACAATGGAGTGGTCACCTATCGCATAGCAGGTGAGTCTCACAAAGTCGGCACTCTCTAGGAACTGACCAAGGCGGATGGCCTGGAGATTTTTCTGTTTTGGTGTCTGCTGTCTTTTCCTGCAAATTCCACACCCAGTGAGAACTGCTGCTTTCTCCCTGTCAGGGTCCAGCCTTGACGGGTTTGTATGTTTCAGGGTAGGGGCGTGTGGACTAGAGATGTTAGGCCGATGGCTAGAGACACAAAAGAAATACAGAGACATAGGAGAGTACTGTGAGGGCAACTCAGTGAACACTGAATACTGAATCCAACTGTGTTTATTTTCCATACTCTTATACAGCCCAATCCACAAAAGGGGGAAGAAGGCAAGACTATTTTAACATGACGCAAAGGGCTTCCAGAACAACTACTTGCTTCAATACTTCAGACATCAAGCCACTATTTCCCGAGTTAAGCATTCTGATGTTTTAGGGAGGATATGCAGTGAATACACCCTAGACCAAGTGTCCTGTAGGCAGCCACTCCCTACAGCAAACCCCCTGTTTTAAAATGAAGGGGTGGGGGGCTGGAGAGATGGCTCAGAGGTTAAGAGCATTGCCTGCTCTTCCAAAGGTCCTGAGTTCAGTTCCCAGCAACCATATGGTGGCTCACAACCATCTGTAATGGGGTCTGGTGCCCTCTTCTGGCCTGCAGGCATACACACAGACAGAATATTGTATACATAATAAATAAATAAATATTTTTAAAAAATGAAGGGGTGGGAATAGGCTTGAATTCTCTGACCTTTGGTCAGCGTGGAGCAGATCCATCTCTTTGGGCCATCTTAATGTCCCAAACATCCAATAACCACACCTTAGGTCAGGATAGCTTGTTTGGAGCTACACCTGTTGTCAACAACTTTGAGAGAGCAAGAATCAGCTCAAACCCTCTGACCGTTAGTCAAAGTGGAACAGGACTCACCTCTGTGGGCCCTCACAGTTCCTTCCCGTGGAGAGGGCTCTGCCTCTGCCCACCCTGGATCAGCATCCTCCAGGTTTTCTAAGGTCATGGTCTTGAAAGCTTTTCTGGATTTGCTTGTATGCCAAGACTAGGGAAACTACATATAGAACAGACGTCTTTTCCCTATTGTTTCTTCATGTGGTCACTTATTTTATTCTTTGCCTCTTGAGTTGACAACTCCTTCTACACCCTGCCCCAATTTACCATAACGAAGTAGATTTTTGTTCTTATATCAATTATTGTCACTGTATTTTCTGTGTTTGAGTATTTGTACATATTGAAAGGAAACTCGTTAAAATTTTAATAAATATGGAATCTATGCTTTAAAGTTATTTTATATTGAATTGATTATTGAAAGATTAAAATATCAACGATACTGTCCAAGTTTTTGTTAATAGTTTATTAAAAGCCAAACTGTGTTGAAAATGAATTGCTTAATAAAATTGATGAATCCCCTTTTCTAGTTTATAAATGTGGGGCCTTCTGTTCTTCCCTTCCTTTCCCTCCCCTCCCCTCCCCTCCTCTTCCTTCCCTTCCCCTTCTCCTTCCCTTCTTCTTCCTCCCTTCCTCCCTCCCTCCCTCCCTTCCTTCCTTCCTTCCTTTCTTTCTTCCTTCCTTCCTCCCTTCCTCCCTCCCTCTCCCCCTCCCTTCTTCCCTTCCCTCCTTCTCAAAATCTCATCATGTTCCCAGGATGGTCTTCAAACCCTGTACTCAAAGTTCCTTCTGACCTAGCCTCTTGACTTGCTGGGAGTATACAGCATTCTACTGTTTTAGAGTAAAGGAAAGAACAACAACAGACCTCCTGCCAATTTTCCTTGTTACCGACACAGGCTTAGAAGTGACTCTCCACATTTTTAAATTTCTTTTTTGGTGCTCGCAATGGAGTTCAGAGTCCAGGACTTCAGTAACACTGCGTGCATGCTCTTCCACTAAGCTGTGCTCCATCGGCCCCTTGTGCCCATCCTGAAAGTGGGGAGGACAGTTGATTGATAGAAGTAAAGTTATCGCTTGAACATTTTCTGAGTTGCTTCTCCCCCAAACCAATTCATAGCCTTTTGCAGTTATTTATCCATCGTAAGAAATTGGGTAAACTTGGTAATTAATTGCAAAGATATTTTTTGTATGAAGTAGGATGTGTTCTTCAGTCATTAAAGCCAGTCACTACTTCTGCACTGAACTGCAATGGTGGGGGGTCAACAGAGGGCCAGACAAAGACAGGGAGAGAAAGAAGGAAGGATGGGAGGTGGGCAAGGCCCTTCGAAGGGAACATAGTAACTGTGCACAGGAGGTGCTCTTAGTGGCTGCAGCTGAGCAAGCATCCTGTCAGAACCCCAAGGTCAGGCCAGTAGAGATACTTGAATACTAATAATCATTACCTTATAACTGCTCCGCCTTGTAGAGAATGTGTTAAACATGGGCACCTGGAGCCTCTTCAATATCAAAACCATAGCATTTACCTAAGCTGAGTCATGACTGCTGCCTTTCTGGGTCTTGCTTTCCACCTTTGTACTCCTAGAACTTATCAATTTCCTGTTATTATATTATAACACACCTATTATTTCAGAGTCCTCTCCTTCCTGCTTTCTGAAGCACAGAATATATAACCCCCCTAAACCTCCACGTTCTCATAAATTCTTACCTTGTTTCCTCAGTCTTCCTAAAGCTGAAACAAAACTCCTGGCTCTGCCTAAACTTCGTCCAGCTCTCCCCTTAAGGCCAGGCAATGAAGTAGAACCCTTGTGATTCGATCCTGTTTCCTCTCAAATCCATGTCCTCACTTGCAACAACCCATGTCTCATCTTCTACACCTTATCTTACCTGCAAACTTCAAGGGAATTCAGTTTATGGAAAGTGCTCCAAGACATTTCAGCTGCCAAGTGCTCGCATTTCCGGGACCGCACGCACAGTCTTTGCTTTACACATAACGCTGTCTCCGAACGTGTCATCTTGCTAATTCCCACTGAAGGGTGAACCTGTATGTTATGATTTCCAATAGCATCTTGTGGTCATGCTCACATGCTCTACATGGTTGGATCCCTACACACTCATGCCACCCGAATATGAGTGCCAAGAGCATACCCTTCTTAGATTGTGAGGTCTTGGGAGCAAGATCATGTGTCCAATTCTTCCTTATGGTTCCGATATCAAGCCTACTTGTAGTATACAGTAGGAGTTCATACTTGGCTCATCATTGGGCCTCAATGAATTGATTTTTCAAATCAATGAATTGATCAAAGCAAATGAATTGATTTTTCAATCACAAACACCACACAACACATCTGCCCAACCTTCTGTTGGATGTAGATTAACCATGTCTTATGAATAAAAAGTCAGGATTCCCCTCCTGAGCCCCCATTTATTGCAATTATTTTTTCTGAACACTTTGCTTCCATACGCTTTAAGTGCTTACAAGCTAGTATGGCCCCATATCCATGAGCCTGGTACTTTGATCTTACCACACATTCAAGAGTATGGCTAATGAGACTTTGAACCATTTTTACTTCAGTAATTGACAAAGATGGCTTTGAGACGCTTTGCCTCTGTATGAGTTAGTCCTACGGAAGATAGTAAAGAACACATATTTTGAAAGATACAGAGATGGATTAAATATTCTTGCTGATGTCATGGGAGAAGTGGGCAGATGTGCGGTCATCTGACAGAAGCACGAGGACTCATACACGCGGAGCCAGGGGATTGTCGGAGGAAGGAGCACAGAAGGGGTACACAGCTGAAATACCCTTAACACATCAGAAATACACTTAGCAGCTAGTTACGTTTCGGAAAACTCTTTAACAATCCATCTGTTATTTTCTTGGGGTGTTTTCTAAAAGATTCATCTATTGCACACATATGTGTGTTTGTCTGCATGTATGTATGTGTTTTACTGTTTATGGAAACCAGAAGAAGGCATTGGATCCCATGGAACTGGAATTGCAAAAGTTTGTGAGGTGCCTTGTAAGCACTGAGATTGCACTGGGTCCTCTGGAAGAGTAGCAAATGCTTTTAACCCCTGAGCCATTTCTCCACGGCCCACCTCTACATATCAATTTTTGATGAATAGCAAAAATACCCCAAACAATATTTCTTATCACTGAATATTGTTTTATTGTCAATAAAATCACATACTAATGTTATGGTAAAAAATATATGAATGCAAAATGTGTGTACAAAAAAATCATATTGTTACACATGTTCTAAGATGCATATTGAGAAGTTATGGTCTTAGTCATGCTCAATTATTCTCAGTACTTAAGAAAGTGCTATGATTTAATAATCAGGAAATAAATATTTTCAATGATAAAAACTAATAAGTATATCACCTATATACTATATAATGGGAGCTATTGTTTTCCCGTTTCAAATAGATTTCAACTGTTTTCTGTAACAGGTGGGAACATCGGTGAGTACTTTGCACTTCATGCAACCTCAGGAGAACTCTCGACAATTCGAGCTTTGGACCGAGAGCAGATCAACAACTTTACCCTCATTATCCTGTGCTCAGATTCGGGGACTCCACCCCGAAGCTCTGTGATGCAGCTTCATGTTAGGGTTTTGGATGACAATGACCACAGCCCTTCCTTTCCCATGCTTCATTACCATTCCTCTGTGAGAGAAGATGCTGACGTGGGCACTGTGGTCCTGGTGTTGTCTGCAGTGGACAGAGATGAAGGCCTCAATGGGCAGGTGGACTATTTTCTGCTGGGGGAATCTTCTGGTACGTTCTCTGTTGATCGGGTGACAGGGACACTGAGAACTAGCCGCGTCCTTGATCGAGAAGCCAGCCCACAGCACACGTTCCAAGCTGTGGCCAGAGACTGTGGTCCCCAGGGCGCAAAGAGCAGCATGCTGACTATACTCATATCTGTCACTGATGCTAACGACAACGATCCTGTTTGGGAAGAGAACCCAGTTGATGCTTTCCTGTCCCCCAGGCTGTCCCTGAACCAGACCATTGCCCATCTGAGAGCCAGTGACCCAGACGCAGGGCCCAATGGAACTGTCACTTTCAGCTTCGCGGACACCCAGTCAGTGTTTTCTATCGATGAATATACAGGTGAAATCAAACTTCGGCAGAATCCATCTTCGGAATCTTTTCCTATTTGGGTGCAGTTAAAAGCCATGGATCAAGGGGTCCCAGCGAGGGCAACCAAGGGCCTCTTGGTTGTTCACATGGAAGGAGAAGATGTGACAATCTCCTTCAACCACCGTCTCTACACAGGACTCGTGACGGAAAACTGTGAGTCGGGTGAGTGTACCTTCAAGTTTCTTGTTTATTGCACCAATTTGGGCAAAATGCTTTAATTTTGGTAGATTGCAGAAGAACGCCATTGCACTTTCGGAGGCGAGCTGAAGAGCCTGTTCCGGATATTGGAAAGTTACAATCAATGTGATTGTATTAGCTTTCCAGTGCTACTATGAAATGAAAGAATCAATCTGCTTATTAAAAACAAGACCTCTCTTTTACTTCACTGTTCTGGAAGTTCCAGGCAAAACGATGTGGCCCCATTGCTGTGGGCCTCCCTGGGGCAGTATCATAGTGGGAGGGCATGGCTGTTCATTTCAGTGGCCAGGAGAGAGCGGGAAGTAGAGTGGGAAGACAGTGCCCTTTGAGGTCCATCCCAAACCATCTAACAGCCTTCCATTAGGCCTACTTTCTGAGGGGTCACCATTTCCTGGTAGTGTTGTAAGAGGGCCACTTGTTTGTTTCCTGGCTGTTCGGTAGCTCAGCCCTGAAATAATCATAAAGAAACTATATTATTTAAATCAATGCTTGGCCTATTTACTGTAGATTTTCATTGGCTCTTATGGTGTAGGAGGGTCTTCTTCCTATGTGTTGCTTTCACTGGTTAAATAAAAAGACTGCCTTGGTCTTTTGATAGGACAGCAGCTTAGATAGGCGTAGTAGACAGAACAGAATGCTGGGAGAAAGAAGGCAGAGACAGAGAGCCGCCATGAAGCTGCCAGGTCAAACGTGCTGAATCTTTCCCAGTAAGCCACGAGCTCGTGGTGACATACAGATTATTAGAAATATGTTAATTAAGATGTAAGAGTTAGTCGATATAAGACTAGAAATAATGGACCAGGCAGTGTTTAAATGAATACAGTTTCCATGTAATTATTTTGGGTAAAGCTAGCCGGGAGCCAGGCGGCAGGAAGTGACCTGCCGCTCCTTTTACAACACTCTTACATATTAATATAACCCATCTCCATTAATCTGTGCATTGCCACATGGCAGGGGCTTACTGGCAAGGTTCTGTCCAGTGTCTGTCTGGCAGCAACTCCATGGCTTCTCCTGACTCTGCCTTCTTTCTCCCAGCATTCAGTTTAGTTTTTCCTGCCTACTTAAGTTCTGCCCTATCAACAGGCTGAGGCAGTTTCTTTATTAACCAATGGTAGTCACAGCCTACAGAGGGGACTCCCACATCACAGTAGTACTATCTTGGATTTTCACCAAACGTTCACCCATAGGGAACATCCACATCTGAAGTATAAGCACAGCTAATATTGACCTGGTCTGAAATAAAATGTCAGGATAGATTGTAATGAAGACCAAACCACTTCTAACTGCGGGAGCTGGGCCTTCTTGCTTAAGTTTCAGTTTGGAAAGCTAAAGGATGATAAATGAGTGAGAAGTCTCCATCCTCCTAACTCCATATTTTATAACTCTTCATAACATCATTTTTATTTTTTTAAAAAAATTTTGAATTAATCAGATGGTTTTCATTGCAAAAACAGTTATCTGTTTAAAAGAACCCAATACTCTAGCAATGTGTTTAGGAAATCTGAAGCCTCAGGGAAACTTGTTGGAAACACTACTGCAGCGAATGCAAGCTGGTGGAATCTGTGAAAGGCCAGGGAGAGGAGACGTGGACAGGCCTGCCCTTGAAGAATTCATTTGATATGGGAGGGTGTATAGTGTCAGCCAAGAGACAGACCAGAGGATGTAACAGGAAAGGGAAAAGAAGAAAACTGTTGGATGTCTTCAGAGGAAGTCCCTGGGTGGGAAGGGTCCTTAGGTTCTCTGCTAAGCAAGGGTTGTGTGCATGAAGCATCCATCGACATTTTCAGCAGATAGGACTTTCCTTGGAGCATGGGTTCAATGCAGACTGCCAGGTCATATCAGACATGAGAAAGAGAGTTTCCTTTTTTATTGTTTTCTCTTCTAGTATTTCAGTAGAGTCAAAATATTGCAGAATATGAATCAGTATTAGAATGATCTTAATGTTATTAAACATCATTTCATAGCTTCCAGAATGATTTTGTTGTTTCCAAATGCACCTAAAATTTAAACCTTTGTATTCAAGTGAAACACAGTAGAGGAGTTTTAATTTCTCGTAATCCCTCAGACATCCTGTCAGTAAGAGATATTTGACATGCTGAGTGAAGTAATCTTTGATGTTGTTCTAAATTATCATTACACTAGACTATAGAGTGGGAGAGAGATGGGGGAACAGGGAGGGTGAGAGAGAGGGAGGGCAGAGAGAGAGAAAGAGGCAGAGAGAGGCAGAGAGAGAGAGGGGAGAGAGAGGGGGCAGAGAGAGAGAGGCAGAGAGAGAGACAGAGAGGGGGGGAGAAAGAGGGGGCAGAGAGAGAGAGAGAGAGAGAGAGAGAGAGAGAGAGAGAGAGGCAGAGAGAGACAGAGAGAGAGACTTTTGGGGCCCCCTGCTTTTTTTGTTTCTTCCATGTAGGTCCCAGCCTATCCCATGGCCCTGTTCACAGTTAGGGCAAGCGTTTCCTGCTGCTTGCTCCCCCACATATCTGTGTTCTGGAAGCACCTTCGCAGGCACAGCCAGAAGTGTGCTTTAGTAACCCACCAGACCTCTTTAAATCCAGTCATGCTAGTGATCAGGATTCATCATCACAACCTGAGCTGACTCTAGTTCCTGTTTTCCACGGGAGCCTTTAGTAGATGAGACGCAGGAAGTCCATCAGCTGGAGCAGTCGCCACAAGGCAGAGCTCAGTAGCTCAGCAGGTTAACCAGACAAGGGGCCCCTATGATTCTCTCCTCTCTCCTATTGCTGCCTCCTCTGCCACCCATTGCTCAGTTTTGTACTGGGTTAGCTGAGATTTGACCATTTTGAACACTTCTTTGTTTCCCTGTTTAGTTGAACTCGTAATCATTTACTTTTACTTCATTAATTTCAGTGAACACAATAACGTGTTTTATTGAGACCTGTTCATGAACATCTGCCATTGTATCTTGACTACATTTGGCCCCCTGCAATGCTGCCCTGTCAGTCCTCTCCACTCTCAGATTCTCACCTTCCTTCCCCAAATAGTTACCCTCCTGTCTTCTGTGTCCAATTAGCATGCACATGTACACACACACACACACATGTATGTATACATAGGCAAACCTCCACAGCAGAGGACACACAGCAGCCCTCTGCCATTCTTTTCCCATGACCCTCTGGTGCCTTCTCCCTGAACTCTTTCCTCAGGCGTTTCTTCCTCTCTTGCAACTCTCCCCTCCACTTGTCTTCCGTATGTACATAACTATCACATGTATATGGATATCATTTCTATATGGATTTTACATACCAAAGGACACATGTTTCTTGTTTTTCTGAGCCTGGCTTATTTCTCTAAGGATGGCATCTCCAGTTCCTCCCGTCTCCCTGAGAATGACAGAATTTCACTCTTCTTTGTAGCTGACTAAGACACCAGTTGTATCTACGGTCCGTCTTTCTCCGTATACATCCGTCTGTTCACGAGTGTCTAGGCTAGTTCCACACTTTGGCTGCAGTGAATAATAAACACCAATGAGAAAGTATCTCCAGGGTGTTCTGACATAGTTCCTAGACAGCACGTTGGTGTGACATCTTTATAGGTATTCTACACGGGAGGCAGGTAGCTGCCTGGTGGAAGGGTCAGTTGAATTTGAAGGAGTGTCTTGCCTTTCCTGTGATTTTTGCTGGTCCTGACCTCATACTGGCATCTGTCAGAACGACTTGAACTTCAGCATCTGCCTTTCTTTTTGCAAAAGGGGCCTCTGTTTGCCACACTTAGTCTGTGGACTCTGGAGATTCTCCCACTCTCCAGAGAGTCCCCAGTTGTTTGATCCTGGGACGGCTAATATTTAAGTTGAAGGATGTCTCCTAAGTCTGCTGGGATCTACACAGACAGGTTTGTTTCCCATACCTTCAAACTCTAGTGAAACCCATCTGGGGAATGTGGATCTGGATGACATGTACTCGTCTGGATTCTACAGCCCTGAACTGAGGGGGCGTGGCTCCTGAGGCTCCATCTACCTATTGACTCCAGGTTTAGGGCTATCAAACAGTGGGGTTACTCTCAGGTAGTGAGGTCATCTCCTACCCTGAGGACTGAGTTACCTCCCCTGGACACTTGACCGCCTGTGTCTTCTGCTAGCTGCGCTTTTCTGTTTGCCTGTGTGTGTGTTTGCCTCCCATTCTCCATTATTTTCCAACACTCTCTTAGCAGGCTCTGCTGTGTGCTTATTGCTGGTTTTTAAGTCTCTGGGGTAGCTCAGTTTAGCATCTCTCTCAAAATGGTCCCTGGCCAGGGCTCTTGGAGCTATGGAGATTGACAAAATGGAATTCTTCTCTTGCCAGAGAAGTGCCCAGAACCCTTGTCTGGATTTGAGACTCACAATAGTTGAGGGCCTGCCTGTGAGGACCATTGCTGTTCTCTTCACCCGGTCACGCCCATCGGGCCTCTGCCTCCTCTCCCTGCCTCTCCTCTCCCCGCCTTCAATCCTCCACCATGGTCCCCATGCTCCCAATTTACTCAGGAGATCTTGTCTTTTTCTACTTCCTACTTCCCATGTAGATTAGATCTATGTAAGTCTCTCTTAGTGTCCTCATTGTTGTCTACCGTCTCTGGGATTGTGGTTTGTAGGCTGGCAGTTTTTTTTCTTTTTTTTTTTTTTTTTTTTTTTTTGGTTTTTTTTTGTTTTTTTTGTTTTTGTTTTTGTTTTTTTTTTTGTTTTTTTGTTTTTTTAAACATAGAGCCTTGTGCTTCTTATGTTTCCCAGATCACCCTTCGGTTTCTCCACACCCCTCTTCTATCCTATCACTCTGTTTATGAATTTCAATGCTCTTCCTCTCTTCCTTTCTTTGGAATAGAGCATTTCCCCCCTATACCCACTCTTTGCATGACACAGAGGCAACTCTTAAAGTGATGTCGCACCCAGAAGCCCCAGGCTTTTCAAACGTTAGGAATAAACCACTTGGTTAGTCACAATGGTTAAATCCACTAAATGGTGAAACAGGCTTCCAGAA